AGTAACAAATGTCTATCATTCCCCTTTCTCTTTCCTAATACACCACACACACACACACACACACACACGCACATGCATATTCACATAAATATGCTACTGCATGCACACATAACCATATGCTCATACTATATGCACACATATACATGCATGTATCATGCACCCTCATGACAATAAATAAATAATGTCTACCAAACACATCTTTAGAGTCTTTGAAAGCAGATTTAACAAACTATACTTCACTCTGCTTATAGAATGTAGCAGTATATAGAGCTACAACCTTGATTTCTGTTTTTCTTCTCTGTCATTGCAGCTCATGCTAATCTATTTCAATATGGTGACACAACTCAAGAGTTCTTATGTAAATGTATTCTTTTATAAAATAATTAAGTTGAAAAGACAAAACATAGGGCAGAAACTTAAATATTTACTACCTTCCGATTTGCATTTTGAGTTATACTTTCTCCAACTTCTTCCTTCTTCTCTTGCCCAGCTCTTGCAAGTTATTTTCTATGCTCCTTCATAGTCATTGAGCATTGTTTAATTGACTAGCATCCTGACTATTGGAAAGCTCCTCACAATGTCAGAGAGGTTTCTCCATAGTAATATCACCAGGAGTGTTACCGTTGATAGTAATGAGTTTAAGAAATTTCCTGGAAGAATCAGCCACAGATCCCATCACAAACAACAAATTTAAGAAAAAAGTCTAGGAAGTATGTTTAAATAGTGTTAAGTCAATTAATTTTTCTTCCACATTAATCATTTTTTTAATAAAAAATAGCAGTAAATGTTATGTTTTAATTAGTTCAGATGGTTTTTCAGAGTTAGACAAAGAGTTAGAACATTTAAGAGTCATTTTAATAGTGAAGAAGCCAAGGCTTTTAAATACTAAAAGTTGTTCCAAAAATTAAGTGACCAGCCAGGATATCCTCTTCTGTGCCATATCTGTTTGTGTCTTGCTCGTTTTCTATTGGAGTCCCTGTGTTCCTGTGCTATTTTATATGTTGATTTCTTCATGTATTAGTACGAGTCCTTTGTGCATTACCTATATAACAAACATATTTTTCCACTCTGGCTTATTTTGCACTCTCTTAAGGGTGTATTTTGATAAAATAATGATGCAAATTAATATTCCAGATTA